GCAAGTACGATCTCAGCTGCCGGTAAAATGAAAATGATGTTGCAACGATTAACTGCGTCCATGAGCAGAATGTTCCCTCAGTTCCTGGAAGCAAAGACTCCAGATTAAATTAATCAGATTTATGACGCCACAACACCCGCCCATGGTGGGATCTAATGACATTTTCTAGTCATGACTGGAGGAAGAAGGTCTCAGATGATTTATCAATTCAAAGCAACAGTTTCAAAATGACCTGGATGGAAATAACTCTCGGCAACGATACAACTTAAATGAACCATTCAAAGAAATGATGGTGATAATAAAACTTTACTTCAGCGTCCTCCTTGTACAATGTTTAGTAACCGGTGGCGTTGTGCATTTTCAGTATCACACATTAAATAATGAGCCAATGTCAAACATCAGAGACGTAAGACTGGTTGAAATGAAAGTTTAGTAAACAATTGAAACAAAAGAAACTATTGGCTCCACAGTAAAACTGATGACAGCGTTTTAAACAGTTTACAGGTAGAAACGTCTGACAAGAAGGAAAGTGTCATCCTTCTGCTGTTTATCGTGTTTAATCAACCTGAACCTTTGCACCTTTTATCTAAGTCTGAGTAAAACAAACTTTCATGAAGCATTAGTTGGTTTAAAGTAAAATAATTGAAAGTAAAATAATTGAAACTCAAAAACAAATAATTTGTATAGGAGAAAAACCAGCAAATAGCGTTACAGAGATTTAAAGCCTTCATGAATATTTCATCACCCTAACACTGTTACAGTGAGACAAAACAAATTCAACAAGGTTTAGATGAAAATGTGAGTTCATCTGTCTAAATGCAGTTTGCTCTGATCTGTGCACAGAATATAAGATATGTTTGAAATGAGACATTTACCCTCCTGCTCTATCCATGTAAACATGTTGTGATTTTCATTGGATTTGTTGCATCATTGGTAAACAAAGACGGTTAAAATGTGCCTGTGTTTCCTCACAGGGATGTCTGACAGGAAATGCCTCAGAGCTGTGCTCTTAACTCCACATCTTTGACTGAAGGTATGAGGCACTGCTTTAAAGAGTCGGTCAGTCCGAGAAAAAGTCGAGATCTTGTTTTAGTTCCAGGCTAGACGAGTTTACGCCACCTGTCAACCAGGACACAAACAAAAGGTGAGAGCAGATGTAGCTGGAGAGTCTCTGGTGTTTATCTCTGGCCTTCTGCTTCAGAACCGACACCGGCCCATTTTCTGCAGCAGTAACGTCTGCTCAGCTCCAGGTGGGGTGTTGGTGAAACTCAGTGGAGTCAACGTTTCCTCCCAGATGGACAAAAGGTGTTTTTCTCCATGTAGCTTTGCCTCGAGCGGAGCCACTACTGCCCTGGAGATAAACGAAAGATAACGGAACAATTTGTAATCACATCACATTCAGCCGATAGCAGATGGCTTTTAGAAGTTCTGTTTTAACGTTTACGCAACCCAGAATATTCCAGGAACTCTTTGTTGTGTGTGTGTGTATTTATAGGTGGACATATTTTAACTTTTAACCTGTAGTGTGTGGCCAATTTCACATTGTGGGGACATTTGGCCGGTCCACACAATGACAAAATACCCAAAACGGGGTTTTAGAGATATGGTGTGAATTAACTTTTGTTTAGGTTATGGTTAGGAATAGAATAGTATTGTTTTGTAGTATTGTTAGTATTGTTAGTATTGTTAGGATTGTTAGTATTGTTAGGATTGTTTATTTTTGTGGAAAAAAATATAATAAAAATTAAATAAAATGAATGGAGGTCAGTGCAGGGTCCACACAAGTCCGTGTGTGTGTGTGTGTCACGAACTCCTCCAGCTGACTGCATTCCATTCATTCCTGCCACCAACGTGGCGACTGACGTCATCACGCCGGCACTACTTAAGGAAGTGCCGGCGTTTCATTCATTGCTCAGTCATCGTTTCTCACCAGACTTTGTATCGAGTCTCCAGGCTTACCAGCCCTCAAAACACTCAAACTACACCTACAGGAGATAACCACGCCGGCTATCTCCGTCTCTCCGCGTCTGGGCAACAGAACTCAGTCACGCTTCAGATCTGCCAACGAACCTGACAGGATGACTGAGCCCCAAGTTGACCCAGCGGAGTTCGCGCGTTTGCGTGCCGAAGTGGCTCAACAGCGCGCAATCTTGGATCAGCAGACGGCAGACATGAACCAGCTCCGTGCCATAGCTGATCGCCAAGCCACAAAGATTGAGTCACTCACCGAGCTAGTACTCCAGCTGACCACCGCTCTGCAACGTCAGACCGCAGCTGTTCCTGACAGGATGGAACCACGCCTCAGCCTTCCAGAGAAGTGGGACGGAACCAGGGGATCCCCGGAGGGCATGTTGGCGACCCTGGCCATGACTTTTGAGTGCCAGCCGGCACGCTACCCCACATCCTGCTCTCGTGTCGCCCTGCTGACCTCACTGCTGACAGGTCGAGCCGGTGAATGGGCGGCGGCTCTTTACAATCAAAAATCTCCTGCCTGCAATGACTATGAGACTTTTGTAAAGGAGATGAAAAAGACTTTTGTGCACCCCAGCAGCGAGGTCTCGGACGAGACGCGGCTGCTTCAGCTTCGCCAGGGCTCCCAGACGGCGGCTCAGTACACCTCTCGCTTCCGGACGACAGCAGCTCGGTTGAGGTGGGATGACGCCGCCCTAAAGGCCGTTTACCTGGAGGGACTGTCACCGAGAATCCGGGAGGGCATGATCGGGCACGAGGTCCCAACCTCCCTGGACCTGGCAGTGGATCTGGCTCTCCAACTGGACCGCTCCATCCTGAACCGGCCCAGCACCGTGTCAGCCCCCGTACACACCAGGACGTCACCCCGCCGGCCGGCTCACCAACCGACGGAGGAGCCGATGCAGCTGGGACATCTTCCCCCTGAGGAACGGGCACGGCGCTACCAGGAGGGAAGATGCGCTTACTGTGGGGATTTGGGTCACCACCGTGGCACGTGCCCAAAACGACCGGGAAAAGGTCCCTCCGGGTCGGAGTAGGAGCTGTCCCGCCCGGAGTCTCCACTTTTCCGGCTCCACACCGAACCACTCTCCCGGTCTCCCTCCACCTGGACCAAGGCCCGACCAGACTGGAGGCACTTTTAGACACTGGGGCTGCGGAGTGTTTTATCGACCACGGACTGGTTACTCGGCTCAAGATACCCCTCACCGCCCTCGACCGACCCATTCCCGTGACCTCTGTGGACGGCCGGCCCATCATGCCGTACCCTCTCACCCACCGAACTCAGGGTCTCCACATGACTATTGACCAACACCGGGAGACCCTCCACTTCCTGGTCATCCAGGCTCCGGCTACGCCTCCCCAGATAGCAAACATTTTGGTTTCATTTTGGTTTTATTTTGGCATTAATTGGGCATTTTGGCATCCTTCTGGCACAAAAAAGTTCGAAAAAGTATTTTGGTTTAAATGTGGCATAATTTCGGGTTCCCATTATAGACAATTACATCAGCGAGTGTTTCTGTTTTAACCGTGGCATAATTATGGTTTGCCATAAAAGAAAATTAGGCGGCTGGCTATTATGGCATATTCTGGGTAGCCAGAAGAGAGCGGGACAGCGTCTTTGACTTCTGCAGGTGTGCTATGGGGTTATTTTGGCAAGCCATAAAACTCATCAAATGGCGGGAAAAATAGTGATCGAAGACCGGGAATCAGGACTAATTTGTTCATTTCTCCAGCATCACGACAGAGGTGAGTACTATTTCTTCTTGAATCCTACTTTTTTGTTTGCTATAGTTTTGTTTTAGGTCTGTATTGTTTGTTTTAGCAAAATGTAATATTCGGCCTCGTTCCGGGATGAGTATGATGGAGTCGGCAACTGATGTTGAAAAGAAGCTGAAACAAGGTCTTTATGACACAAAAACCAAAGCAAGGCAAGTCAGACATTTGGAGCAGTTTCTCCGATTGTGTTAATATTTCTCATTCAGGTCTCAGAAAAGTGACCTCGATCACTTCCTGATTACAGAGGAGAATGGAATATGAAACGGCCTTGATTTCATTATCCCTTTAAGCACCACACAATAGCTCCTTTAGGTTTTTTTTAAAGAATTTTATAGTTTAAGTAGCGAGTTGTTTGAAATAACATGCGCCAATGCGTCACCGGTGATCCTGGTGACGCATCGGCGTTAAAGGGTTAAAAACTAAATGAAAACGAAGTGAGTCAATCCTGACCAATGTGTTAAAAGACGTGCAGGATCCGATCAATTTGTTTTTCCCTCATTTCTAGTCACGAAGATAACGGCGCACTGGCTCTTGTTAATCAAGTTAAATTTAATCTCTTTCCAACAATTTTCACAAGAAAACAAAACAGTTAAAAGCAGGGCTTGTGTTGTGTTGACCGGATATTTCCCGTATTTGACCGTTTATTTTGACGGAGAAAGAATAGAAAGAATACGCATGCAGACGAACTGACATTTTATTGCAGATGTAGCTAAATCACCCGAGAAAAGATTCCCATCTGAACATCTGAGCTGGACACCGCTCAGCGCAGCTCGCTGTCAGTGCGTACGTACGGTGCACAGCGAGCTGAAGATGTGGAGAGGGGCTTGGAGCGTGTCGCAGAACCAGAGCGCATGCGGGAAGGTCAGAAAATGTTCCCTGATTATGAAACTTTGGCTGAATAGCGCTTGTTCCTGTCTCCAATGTGGCAACACATCCCTGAGCCTGTCTGAGGAGAAGCCCAGAATCTCATGTCTTCTTCAGCTCAGAAAATGCCAATTACGCACAAGCGTGACCCGTCAACCCGGTCTCACAGTAAGACTGGGTTGGAACTGTTCAGGTTTACGCAGACAATCTTTACATTTAGAATTGACTTACAGATATAACGTTAATTCAGTAAAATATAAAGCATTTTATTTAAATATCCATTATTTTACAAGCACAGAGAGCCGCACCAGATGGATGGAAGAGCCGCGGGTTGCCGACCCCTGGTATAGCCTATAAAATGACGTTTTCTCCAGGACCAGAGAGGACACAAACTCAATACATGTCTTTTATTGTGAGGTAATAATTTCTCAGAGTTTTGCGGTTGCGGGCGGGAGTAGACATGCACACAGCGGGTGCGGGAGTGTTACACACACGTTGCGGTTGCAGGCGGTAATGGTCAGAAATTCAGCGGGAGCGGGCAGGAGCGGTATATTTAATAAAGATAATTAAGAAAGTGACACAACATGAAAATGTACTCTGTTGTGAACACAGATGACTTAATGAGGCGAGGAGGAAGCTCCCTCTTGCTGAGGAGCAGACAGACCTCCAGTCTGAGGCGGAAGCCATTGAAAGGCCTCAAAGAAGAATTAAGTAAGAATTTTGTGAACTTTCCATTCCTCCACCTCTTGGGCCTGTGTTGAATTTGCACTCATTAACTTAAATTAAATGTTTAATTCAGAATAAATGTTGTCTTGTGTGTTCATTTCCAAAGGCCAAGCATATGTCCAGGACCGGGCCTCATCAGAGGATGAAGCCCAGACCCCTGGAAGAGGGCTTCCCCCACCCCCAGCCATCCCCCCAGTGAGGAGAAGGTTCATCCTCCCCAATAACCTGTACCTCTGCCTGACCTGACCAATTACCAGGTAATGGAAATCTCAACAAATACCACAGTAACGTATGTATAGCAAATGGGTTTGAGTGTAGCTGATCAGGCAAGTGTGGTGTTTCAAATGTGATACATTAGGAAATTTACAAAGGTTAATGAGGCAGTTACAGGCAGTTTGGAGAAAAACAATTCTGTAGCCATTATGTCACTGTTGAGGTCAATAATTGCATTTTGTAAACTGTTGTTCTTCTTCCTCTCCCTCTTCTACTCACTCTTCCAGCATGTCATGACCCTGGGGACATCATTGCGGCAGGCCATTGACCTGCAGGGTCACCAGGGAACCCAGGGGGTTCCAGTTCCAACTCCCTCTTCATCTGGTGGGATGATGAGGGAGGAATCGGCTGTCCAGGTGCCTACAGTTTGCCCTAGCTCCTCTCCAGGGCAGTGGCAGCAGAGGGACGACACAACATGTAAGGTTTTTATGGTTTACACTCACCCAGTCCTCACATGCCAGTTTCGGTATACAAACACACATGATCCACGCATACATACTAATATAAGATGGTTTATAAAGCTAAACACACACACACACACACACACACACACACACACACACACACACACACAGAGAGAGAGAGAGAGAGTCTGAATGGAAAAGAATTATGTTTATGTATTTAGCAGACACTTTTGTCCAAAGCGACTTACAAGTGATAATCGGCATGTTGCCCTTGAGGCTAACAACAACAACAACTTGACATCAGTCATGGAGAGGAGGAAACAAGGAGTGGACAGTAGAGAGGGGGGACGGGTGCAGGGGGGGTGCTAGTTTAGAAGATGCTCTCTGAAGAGCAGGGTCTTCAGGAGTTTCTTGAAAATTGAAAAGGAAGCCCCTGTTCTGGTAGTGCTTGGAAGGTCATTCCACATTTGTGGAACGATGCATGAGAAGAGTCTGGATTGTCCTGAGCGTGGTGTAGGCAGTGCTAGCCGACAATCCTGTGATGACCGGAGCGACCGGGCCGAGACGTAAGCCTTTGCAAGAGGATTCAGGTAGATGGGAGCCGTACCATCTCGGACTTTGTATGCTAGTGTTAGCTATTTGAATTTGATGCGTGCTGCTAGCGGTAGCCAGTGGAGCTCAATGAACAGAGGGGTGACGTGTGCTCTTTTTGGTTAATTAAAATGCCACACACACACACACACACACAACATCTAAATGCAAAAATGCTTAAACTATGTTGTTTCTTTGTGTCTGAAATGCTTTTCAGCTCTCCTGCATGAAGTCCTGGTGAAACAGGAAATAATCCTGCTGCAGCAGCGCGGCCTCACCAAAATGGTGCAGGACCTTTTGTTGCTGTTGCTGCTCTTCAGGGCCTGACCACAGGGGGAAGTGTGGAGACCAGGCACCACGGCATCTTCCCCTTGGCAGATGTTCAGGCCCTGATGGTCCTGGAGAGGGAGCTTGGAATCAGTCCAACATTGGCCCATGAATTGGTGAGCTTTTTTCTGTTCTTTACAACAAAGTTTTGGACAATGCATTTTGGCATGCACATCCAATTTATGTGTTGTTCAATATCTTAAAGCGGTAGATATGCCAAAGGAGTTAAAGGACTGCTTGTGCAGCCAACGAGCTCCACCCAATTATTCCCCCCCCCCCACACACACACACACACATTTCAGGTCTCTGCCCTTCATCAGGCAACCACGAAACGCCAAATAAATAAATAGTGGAGCACAATGGCTATCCAGGCTTTTCTTTAAGTTTGTATAATATTTGTTTGAAAATTCAATGAAAATCAATCTTTGTTTAAAAAATTAATGAAGATCAATTTTTCTAATTTTAGGGTTCAACACTCGGCCTTGTGGGGGGGTCCACAGTTAAGGACACGGTGTGGCGGGTCCTCAAAGGAGCCATGACTAATGCCCTCGCCGAGGGCAAAATGGGAAGGTGGCCTTTGAGAGGCTCCACCTAAAAGGCATTGTAACTGGTAAGTTTAATCACAACAGTAACACGACTGTTCTATCACACAGCTGATAAAATCATAGTTTAGGATAAAATTATTAGCCACCCATGACAATCACATTTCTTTTCAAAGTCAAAATACTTATAGTCTTAACAACTCATTTGCGAAATGGCACGCAGTGCGCCTGTGAATATCTCGTAATTTTAACACCACGCTATCGCTGGCTTCAAGACAGCTATTGCCACTTTGCCCGCAATGTGACGCGTTCTTCAGGGTCAACTCTCGCTCGTGAAATTCTTGTTTGGTTTTAGTGTCAGGAAAGAACTGCTGGTTTGTGTTTGGTAAACTGTGTTTGGTAAAGTAAACTGTGGCAGTGTAAGTACTAAGTGACTATGATGATTTAATGTTGTAACTTTGGCTGTCACTTTCAACCCCATATGACGAGATGCATCCATTAACTAATGCAAAACTGACTTTTTAACTAGCCAGTTACTTAGCCCACCACAGGTCTCTTTTGCATGGACTGTTGCGTCGTCCTTTTCTAAGTCTTTCTCCATGTGTATGCCTTTATTTTCAGCTGCAGTGAGAAGGAATCCGGTCTGTGTGGCGTCTACAGAGGCAGAAATTGTAAATACAATTAAAAAATGGTTCTACTGGGCTGGGGATAGGGACGGAGGGCGCAAAAGGAGAATGCCCGCCCAACCAACCCCTCAACCAGCCCAGGACTCAGTCCAGGACTGACCTTTACAAAAATAAATAAATAAAATATTCAAATTTTACTCTTGTTTGGTTTTATGTTTATGCACCTCGTACACACAGTAACCTAGGCTATTTCACAAGGCTATTTAACTGAGGCACAAAATCTGAATCTTCTGTACAAGGACATTTTATAGACTATTAAAATGTTAAATTAAATTTAGCATAAGGTTCAGAATAAAATACAATCTTTTGGTAAACGTATGGCTAATTATGGATAAGTTATGGTTCATATTTGGCTTTATTATGGGGTTTTGGGATGGTTATGGCTATGCTTTGGAAAGCCACATTTTATTTTGGGTGATCTTTTGGCAAACGTATGGTTACACTTTGATATCCTTTGGCCATTTTGTGGTGTTTTGGGGTTCTTTTGGTATAGTTATGGTTGTGCTTTGGAATTCCACAATTTATTTTGGAAGAATTCTGGCAATCTTTTGACAATCCATAATTCTATTTTGGCGTGCCTTATTTGGGCCATATTTGGCCCATCATTCCACCCAAAAGAGTACCAAACTGGCATGCCAAACTAGTGCCAAAAATGATTCTGGCAATCTTTTGACAATCCATAATTCTATTTTGGTGTGCCTAATATGGGCCATATTTGGCCCATCATTCCATCCAAAAGAGTACCAAGACTGGCTTGCCAAACTAGGGCCAAAAAGAATTTGCTATCTGGGTCTCATCCTAGGTCATTCCTGGTTCTGCCGCCATGAGCCTCACATCTCCTGGTCCACCAGTAAAGTCCTGGCCTGGGGCACGGGTTGCCATAACCACCGGGACTCCCCTGCACCTCGGGCAGCAGCAGCTCCTCCCAAAGACGTAGACCTGACGCTCGTCCCTCCTCAATACCACGACCTCGCTCAGGTCTTCGCTAAAGAACCCACTACCAGGTTACCTCCTCACCGACCCTACGACCTGGAGATCAGGCTCCAGCCCGGCACCACCCCCCCTCGGGGTCGCCTGTTCTCCCTCTCTCCGGCGGAAACCCGGGCTATGGACAATTACATAACTGATGCCCTGCAGAAGGGATTCATCCGTCCCTCAACGTCCCCCGGGGCCGCGGGGTTTTTCTTTGTTAAAAAGAAGGAGGGGGATCTCCGGCCCTGCATAGACTATCGAGGGTTAAACAAAATAACGATCAGGGACCGTCACCCTCTCCCTCTCATGGGCACCGCTCTGGACGCCATCACACAAGCCGCAGTGTTCACTAAACTGGATCTGCGCAGCGCCTATAACCTCATCCGTATTAAGGAAGGTGAGGAGTGGAAGACCGCTTTTATCACGCCCACCGGCCACTATGAATATTTGGTGATGCCTTTTGGACTCTGCAACAGCCCCGCCGTCTTCCAGCGGTTCATTACAGATGTGCTGAGAGACATGTTGGGTCGCTGGGTCTTTGTTTATCTAGATGACATCCTCATCTACTCCCGCACGGCCGAAGAGCACATCCGTCATGTTCGAGCTGTTCTGTCCCGCCTCCTGGATCATGGACTGTACTGCAAACTGGAGAAGTGTGCGTTTCACCAGGAGTCCACCTCCTTCCTGGGTTTTACCATCTCCTCCCAGGGCCTGAAGATGGACCCCCAGAAGGTTCAGGCCGTAGCTCAGTGGCCTCTACCCACGACCCTGAAGCAGCTGCAAAGCTTCCTGGGTTTCTCGAACTTTTACCGGAGGTTTATACGCAACTTCAGTTCCCTCGCAGCACCTCTGACCTCACTCACCAAAACCACCAATCAGCCTCGCCCTTTTCGCCTTACTCCAGAGGCTGTCAGTGCTTTCCATGAGCTGGTCGGACGTTTCACTAAGGAACCCATCCTCCTCCACCCGGACCAGACCCGGCCCTTCGTCGTGGAGGTGGACGCCTCGGATGTGGGAGCGGGGGCCGTTCTCTCGCAACGGGGTCCGGACTCTAAGCTCCACCCATGTGCCTACTTCTCCCGGAAGTTTTCCCCCACACAGCAGAACTACGGGGTCGGCGACAGAGAGCTGCTGGCAATAAAGTGGGCGCTGGAGGAATGGAGGCAGTGGCTCCTGGGGACCACCGATCCCTTTCTGATCTGGACCGACCACCAGAATCTCATTCATCTACAGACTGCCCGCCAGCTCAGCCCTCGTCAGGCTCGGTGGGCCCTCTTTTTCGAGCCGTACCACTTCCATATCGCCTACCGGCCCGGCTCCAAGAACCTCAAGGCGGACGCTCTCTCTCGGCGTTTCGCACCAGATGCCGGGCCCCCGGAGCCTCGGACCATTCTACCGGCTCAACGCTTCCTGGCCTCCCTCCAATGGCCGTTGGAGCAGTCCATACAGGCGGCACTTCCTGGCGATCCAGCGCCGCCGGAGACCCCACCGAACCGCCTCTACGTTCCCGCCTCCTGCCGGCAAGAGGCGCTCACGTGGGGGCACTGTTCACGGCTCGCGGGACATCAAGGGCAAGCCCGTACCCTCCAGTTCCTCCGTCGGGCTCTCTGGTGGCCGTCCATGAGGAGGGACGTCCGCGAGTTCACAGCTGCATGTGATGTGTGTGCTCGCTCCAAGTCCTCCAACCGACCCGGTGCTGGAGAGTTGCAGCCTCTCCCTGTGCCCAAACGGCCGTGGTCACACATCGGGCTGGACTTTGTCACGGGACTGCCGGCGGTCGACCACCTGGACACTATATTGACTATCACGGACCGTTTCTCCAAGGCCGTGCACTTAGTGGCCCTGGCCGGCCTCCCCACGGCCAGGAGAACGGCCGAACTGCTCCTGGA